AAAAATTCTTTGTGGAGAAACAAGAAAAGAAAAAAACTAATAGTTGGGAAAAATTATGACCCAATTATAACCTCATTAATCTGGATTTCCTCCAAAGAAGCTCCATTATAATTAGTTGGAAACTGTGCAACTGCTTTACATCTTGCAATTCACAGGACAATTGTATGACTCCAGTATTCTCAAAGAATATAGTTTTAATGCATTTAAATGCAACTGGAATTAATTTACCTGTTTATAATATTCATCCCAGCTTTCAGATATTTATCCCCTGAACCTTGAATTCACACTTATGATTCATGGGAATGGCAATTTCACTTATTCATTGCTGAATCTGCACCTTCCATTTACAGATACACCCCCGGCGAGTTCCCTTTACCAGCAGAATCCCAATCTGCAGACCTGTACAAGATGGCATCAGAAACACTAAAAAATGCCGGCTACGAGCACTACGAGATCAGCAGCTACTGCAAGCCCGGACATGAGTGCAGGCACAACCTCACCTACTGGCAGAACCAAGCTTTCTACGGCTTTGGCCTGAGCTCAGCAAGCTACATTAATGGAGTCCGGTTCTCAAGACCCAGAAAACTGAAAGAGTATGAAGTGTTCGTCAACGAGCTGGAAGCCGGAAGCGTGTCAGCGAACGGCAACACCAGCATTGTTAGGGACAAGGAAATGGCCATGGATTTGGTGATGCTTTCGTTGAGGACTGCAAGAGGATTGGATGTTAAAGGGTTTGAAAAGTGCTTTGGGGAGTCAGTGGTGCTGTCTCTGTGCAGGGCGTGGAGGCCGCATGTGGAGAGCGGGCATGTGGTCGCCATGAATGGGGATAGGAAAGCTTTCTCCTTTGAGGGATTCGATTTGGAGTTGAATGGTGGTAGCGGGTTGGGGAGGAGAATTGCCTTTTTCAGGCTAAGTGATCCAGAAGGTTTTCTGTTGTCAAATGAGCTGATAGCCATTGCCTTTAGTGTTTTGTCTCCCTAAGGAGGAAGGAGAAATTATTCCATATGCAGCACTTACGCACCTCTGTGTGCGGACTTCCAGTAATATGTCGCCACGTGAAGGTTATTGAAGTGAAACCCCGGAGATTATTGAGGGATTATTGGGGTGTTATTATGAGGTTATTGCGGGGATTGTGTATGGGGCGAAGATTATTGGGGGGTTATTGGGGTGTTATTATGAGGTTATTATGGAGTGTAACCGCGGAGGTTATTGAGAGTGTAACAACGGATGATATTGGGAGGTTATTGAGAGATTATTGCGGCGTTATTAGAATTAATGCTCCTAATAATCCCCAGTAACCCCTAATTAACCTCCCAATCACCTCCGCGGTTCCATTTCAATAAACTCTGCGAGAGGTGGGCCCGATATAGCATACATGACGGCATATTACTTGAGGCATCACATAGTGTTGCGTACATGCTCCGTATGTAATAATTTCTCCCAAGAAAGCTAAATTTTTTGCCAATAGTAATTTTTACATATGTACCTCCCAATTCCCATGTATTAACATATCCACCACCTAAATTTTCATTCTTACCTGCTGATCACCTAATCTATCCTGAAAATAAAAGCATCAGTTGATCCGTATGTAAAAATTAAGATTTAAATGATTGATAAGTTAATGCATAAGAATTGGTTGCTACATATGTAAAGGCACCCCCTTTATTTTCAGCTGCAAGTCTCGTTTTATTGTTAATCTGTGCTTTTTAGCTAAATTCCTGTACACTGATTTAAGCACTTTTCTATGTAAATAGAAGCGTACATACGTGTTAATGATAATTAAATAATTAAAAAAAAGAATGAAATATATTTGCTTATTTGGGCACATGCAAGTCGCTCGTAACCTCTCCTCTAAAGACCTTCAATAAGCTGGATAACATACTGATGTTAATATTTTAATTTTTGAACGAAGTTTTACGTGCATAACACTCAATTTTAGAATAATTTTTTAGGTTTTATAGATCTATGTATATTTGTTTTATCATTATTTTTTTATATGTTAGGTATGCACATAGTTGCATATGTGCTTTAAAGTCATTTTTTG